ATGTTTACCACCCCGTCTGCTGTCTGGCTGGTGGAACATGGCATGAAAGTGGACCTCAAATGCGCTCGGTGTCAGTGGGCGTTTGAATCCACGGTTCATTTATGGTGGGATTGCCCCGCCTCAGCTCGAATCTGGAAGTGGTGGACAGAGAAATGGGATAAAATCTCAGGTGGGGCTCTGAGGTGGGACAAGAATTGGACCTTATTAGGGGGTATCCCTGAGTCCCTTTCCCTGTCCAAGGGTTGGGGATATGTCGCTCAGACACTGAGAGCTGTGATGTGTGCTGTAGTGTGGCAAGGCAGAAATGATCAAGTGTTCAAGGGACAAGATTGGTCGAACAAGCAAATTCGTGCTACAGTACAGAAAGGGATAAGACAATCTATCCAGGCCGACTGGAGACGTAAAGTGCAGTCAGCAGAGAGTAAGGTAAGTGGCATGAAGTGGTTCAAAGAGACTTGGTGCATGCGTGGTACTTTAGCAAGAATCGAGAGCGATAAGTTAGTCTTGGACCAGTGGTTATTCTCTTCCTAGATTTAACAAGTTGAACCTGGTTCGCTCGGTTGCCAAGGGGTCGCAGTAGACAGGCAGCAGGAGTAGAGGATGGAGGGAGCGTTCTTCGTAGACAGGGTGAGATCTCTGGAGATCTGTCTGTCGAAAATAGACAGAGGGTGGTAATCACCGCCGCTTTAGGCGGTACTTTAGATTGATTGAAATTAGAATAAGGTAGCAGTGGAAAGATGGTGAGTTAGTGTTGTGATTCTGCAATTTAGTTGGTTAATATTAGAGTGCATTTTTTTTTAGTAGATAGTTTTTAGAATCGTTTGGCTTTTATTGGCCTTGAAGGCTTTGTGTTCTTATTCTCCAGGGTTATGGATCACCAGGACAGCGGTCTGGATTTGGCCATTCTGTTCCTAGAAGGATTATCCTAACCCCTGAAGAGAAACTGGGTAATGCTCCCAGTCTGTTTGTTCTTGTTTCCGGGTTGTTTGTTGAGGGATTCCCGGCCTCAATTTACTTGAGCATAATGAAAGCCTGAAAAGGCCCCCTTTAAGAAAAAAAAAAAAAAAAAAAAAAAAA